AGCTGAGGTAATTATACCAGGGGTTCCTTTCTTCCAGTTTATACTACGGCCTGGAATCTGGGCTTGGAGGTCTCCAAAATTCCCAAATACCCAGAAAAAATCATCATTGTTCAAATCTTTATCCGGTGTGTCTTTTATTATTTTCTCTCGACGGCTGCGTATTCTTAGATAATAGACCGAGCCATCTTTCTTTGATCCTATGAAATATTGATGGAAGAGTTCGGCTAGGCCGAGGTTAATGCCAGCTCGGCGGTTTAGTTCGGCTATACCATTAATTATGCGGTATGAATTTGTGGAAAGTTGGTGGGGCATGTCCTAGTTTGCCTAAGGAATTCACAAAGTAAAGGTTGTACAGGGAAGCGTAAACCGCACTCCACAATGGAAATAACGTTAAAAGGGACAAAACCTTGTTTTCCCTAGGGGACGGTGTCTAGCTCGGCTAGAGAAAGGTGGACATCATCTGGGATTTGGTAGTTCTTGCGAAATTCAGCTATTGCACTAGGAGAGTTAACTAAAAACCTATACTTTCCCATTTATGGTCTAAGTTATAGGTAGATTAAACTCGAGTGCTATCTCGGTCGAAGATTTGTGCTGTGTAGCTCGGTTGAGCGCTCAAAGGAGTGCCTGGGCAACCTAAGTCTGCAAAGTGAAAAACAATGATGTTAAGCACAGACTATGGGACTGTGTTAAAAGAAAACAAAGGCAAGATAAATGAAGCATTAGCTCGGCTATGTGGCATACTACGGGTTTAAGCTCGGTTTGAGCAACGGGTCTGTTAGCTCGGTCTCGGTAGGCGGTTCGATAGCTCGGTTAGAAGGAAAGTTTTGTTAGACCGGTTGAGCTTCTAGGGGCAGTTTTCTTAGTTTGACCTAAACTAAGAGCGCTGGTTTAGCCCCAAGACATAGCTCGGTCGAAAGTGAGGCTTTCAATCACATTAATTGCGGACTTGGTTCGGTTTGTTATCTAGGCTAAGTTAAATCAAAAAATGGTTTGACTTGTTGAAATTACTGGTATAGCATGAAGTATTAGTTCGGTTGGATAAGTCTGACTAAGATTCACAACAACTACAAACAACTTTTTAGTTCGGTTATATTGTGATTTTGGATCAAATACAGTGTTCTACAGACTGCTTCATGAAATACAAGTGGTTCTTCTTATGAGGTTTTTCCTAGAAAACGCAAGGAAAAATAAAAATGTGTTTTGTAAAAACACCAACAATATGCTATGGATTAAACAAAGTGTGAAAACAAGAAAAATAGAACATATTAGTGAAGCTTACCAGATGAAAAGGAAGGAAAGGGGAAGTAAAAAGCAGCCACAGACATGAGCTTCACAGTTGCAAGGTTGAAAGAACAATGGAGGCTCGAAGAGAGGGAGAAGAAACTTGAAATAGTAAAGTGGTTGATTCGAAATGAAAGAGCTTATTTTGTGTAGAAGGCAGGACAAAAAGGGCGGGACTGTTCAAATTTCGCGAGATACGAAGACGGCGTGACAGCTGCCTTGGGCCAATCAGAGTATGCTACGTGTCATGGGAATGAGAAGCGATTCAGTTGGTGTGATTGAAGAGACGTTTTGACCGGACAGCTAGAGCCGGCGTAAATTTAGCTCTGCTGGAAAAGCTAAAAAAGTTTTTTAGCTCGGGCGGAAAGGCTAAAGAAGTTTTCTAGCTTGGCTGGCAGACAAGGTAATCCCTATCATGCTGCGCAGATGGAATTAAGGGGCAATTGAGAGGGTAATTTATATGAAAATTGGGTCAAGCTGGGCAATGGACCGTTATGGGCCACAATACAAAGGGCTGGGTAAAGAGGCTTTGAAGTTAGTCTGGTCCTAGAGCCTTGATGATTAGTTCGGTCCCAGAGAGCCTATTGTTATATCGGTCCAGTAGAGTACTGCGGATTGTTCGGTTGCCCGAGTTAGCTCGGTCGTATCATGGTGCAGCTAGCTCGGTCAGACCTAGCTAATTGTTAAGCACGGTCTAAACTAACACTATGGTTAGCACGATTTGTACAGGCAGAACCGAGGTAAGAGCAGTGAAAGGTTGAATCGAACTAAGTATAGTTCGGTCTAGTCGGCGACTTAGCATAGCCATGTTTACCTCGGTCACAGAAATCCGACCATGGTAAAACCATCTCACTTGGTTTGTGCAGTGAGGGGGGTGTTGAAGGATAAGCATTATCTTTCAGGAGTATGAATCTCAGGAGGACTCTACATGGAGGAGTAAAAGTCCTACTAGGATTGTGCCACACAGAACCTACAAAAGCTCACAAACATCACCTATGGAGAGGTAACACAACTTTGATTCCTGAATACACAGAGCTTTTTGGCTATTTGTCTATTTTGCTGACTTAGGCATTAGAGAGGTATCCGGCACACACCCGTCGGCTAGCTCACGTTTGTGTTTTTAGGGAACAAAGCGACGACGTACGGAGGAGCGAAGACTTGATCAACAAGATTATACGGGAAGAATATTTCGTGCCCATACACATATCATAAACAAAAATAATATATATTATCAAATGAATTTTATCATTTCATGTAGGTAAATAAATTGTGAAATTCATAGAGGGATGGATAGGGAGGACCAAACCCCTTAAAAACAAGTTTGTAATTAGGTGCTTTGTAAGAGTAATCCTAATTTTGAGTCAAACTTATATAAAATATAAATTTAAATAAAAATTATTGAAAAAAAGTCTTGATTCTTTACCTCAAATTCATATCAAATTGAGTTTTATTCATTTCTTACCTACATCAAAATAGACTCAAATATTTACTAAAAATATTCAAAATCACCTTGTAACTTTAAATTTTTTAACAGCAATGATTTAGAACTCTAAATCCACCATTAGTGATGTGGAAAAAAAAGAGGGCAAATTATATATACCCCCTCGAGATTTAGCAAAATTACAGATACCCCCTGAGGTTTGAGAAATTGCAGATACCCCCTGAAGGTTATATTTGCATAACAAATTAGGGAGCAAATTGTTATGAAAATATAAACCTCAGGGGGCAATTTGTTATGAAAATGTAAACCTCAAGGGAGTATCTGTAATTTTCGAAACCTCAGGGGATATCTGTAATTTAGCTAAATCTCAAAAAAAAAAAAAAAAAAAAAACACAACACAACACAACACACACTGCCCACTATCACATCACTAGTGGCACCACTAATTAGAGGTCTCAAGCTTTATTCAATTTTTAATTCTGCCATCATTAGAATTTGGGTAAATTATACATACATCCCCTGAGATTTGTTTAAAATACGAATTGCTCCATGTGGTTTAAAAACTTACAAATGCCTCACTGTCATAATTTTTTATTTAACAGAATTAATTGAAAAAGTGAAATTTCTAACTGTTTACCTATACAATAATAAAATTATCTAAATCATTAATTGAAATAAAATTTTAACATTATTAAAAACTATTAATTAATATGATGATTTATTAATAAAATGACCTATTTGTTATGAAATTAGAGATCTTAAGGGCCATAATATAATTTTTAGAACTACATGGGATAATTTGTAGTTTAAATAAACCTCAGGAGGTGTGTTTGTAATTTACCCTTAGAATTTTTACTCAAATATATATCAAATCTTTATCATCATCAAAAAAAAAAAAAAAATTTAAAATTAAAGTTTGAGTAAAAATTAGAATAAAGGTTGAAGATGATCACAATTGATGAGGCGTTTAAAAATTGGTCATTTACACATAAGTCCTAATTTAAGAACTTATACTCTATTAAGTCTTAATTAAGATTTTTTTAACTCTCAAGTCCTATTAAATTTTTAATGGTCGGAATTACCCTTTAAATAATGATTGTTTATCATTTATGATTATCTATAAAAGAACATTATAATTTGACATTTATTTTGATTTTCAAAACTTTAAAACATCAACTTTAAAATTGAAAAAACTAAAAAAAAAAAAAAATTATGTGAAAAGGAAAAACTAATTTTTTTTAAAAAATTTTTAAAATTGAATTATTTTTTTGTGTAAAATTGAAGATTTTGTGCCTATAAATGATAATGGAACATTGATATGTAAAATTGAAAAAAAAAACTTTAAAAATGAAAAAAACTGATAATGTTCTCAGTTTTAAAATTGAAAAAAAATTGTTAATTTTCTTGATTTTATTGGATAATTGAATCAAACCAATAAGTAAAAGAGTAAAAACGTTTAATCTCATATTCTGTTTTTTTATCAGTTAGTAAAATAATTATCTAAAACATTATTGTGCAAAATTAATGATATTTTTAGAGTCCTATTAAATTTTTAATGGTCGGAATTACCCTTTAAATAATGATTGTTTATCATTTATGATTATCTATAAAAGAACATTATAATTTGACATTTATTTTGATTTTCAAAACTTTAAAACATCAACTTTAAAATTGAAAAAACTAAAAAAAAAAAAATTATGTGCAAAAAGGAAAAACTAATTTTTTTTTAAAAATTTTAAAAATTGAATTATTTTTTTGTGTAAAATTGAAGATTTTGTGCCTATAAAGGAGCATGATAATGGAACATTGATATGTAAAATTGAAAAAAAAAACTTTAAAAATGAAAAAAAACTGATAATGTTCTCAGTTTTAAAATTGAAAAAAAATTGTTAATTTTCTTGATTTTATTGGATAATTGAATCAAACCAATAAGTAAAAGAGTAAAAACGTTTAATCTCATATTCTGTTTTTTTATCAGTTAGTAAAATAATTATCTAAAACATTATTGTGCAAAATTAATGATATTTTTAGTTTTAAAAATTAAAAAAATTTAATAGTAGTCTCAATTTTATTAAAAAAGATTTATTAATTTAATTTTTTAAAAATAAAATCTGAACTTGTATAACTAGTATAAATCTTTGAAAAATGCTTGGGCCAGCCCAAGTCTTGAGAGAGACCCTGAGAATATTTTTCTTTATTTTAAAAGTCTGGGTTCCGAACGTGGAGGTTCGGAACCAGGTTCGGGGAGTAGAGGTTTTATAAAGATATTAGACAGAAGTGCAAGGCACGGCGAGAGTGCTTTCTAGTTGTAGAGAGAGGGAGAAGACGAACAAGAAGAACATGGCCGATGTTCCAAGAAAGTAAGAAAAAAGAGAAAGAAACATCACCACAAAGATAACCCCCCCTCTCTCTCTCTGTTGCTTCTCTCCAACTCCAATTTCTGTTCCGATCTTGCGTCTAAAACCCTAGCTCTACTTCACTTTCTTTCTCTTGAAGATTCTGAAGATCCTATTTATAATCTCCGATTCGGAGGGAATTTATAATTTATGTTTGAATTTGGTTCGTTTGTGGGAATCGGAGCTTTGATGGTGGAAGTTTGAGCTTTCGATTATAATTACGCTTCCAGAATTTATTTTTATTTTTATTTTATTTTTGTGTGTGGAGAGTTTTGAAATGGCGGAGGAAGGTGCATTGTCGTTTTCTGTGGCGTCCGTGGTGGAGGATGTTCTTCAGCAGCATGGGATTCGATCCAGACATCTTGATCTGGAGTCCCGCAGGGCAGAGGAAGCCGGTAACTCTTTGTTCTTTTTTGAGCCCTCCATCGTTATATATATATATATATATATATTTTGAAAAAGAAGGCAAAGCTATATGGATTTTGAGTTGTTTCTCACAATTCAATCTTTTTGATGAATAGAGATATTGTTACAGTTGACTATGGGATTGGTCTCTAGATTAAGTTCGTCAAATATATATATATTTACTTGTGCTGGCATTGAATTTTTGTTTCGTGATTTGATTTGTTGTTCTTGTTTATGTGATGAAGTTCACCAGAAAAAAACTATACTGTTTTGTTTGGCTATGGAAAAGGAAACTATTTGAAATATTGAAGTCTGAATTTCGGGCCTTAACTATATGTGGCCTTGCAAATCAGATTAACTCTGGTCTTTTATTTGAAATAAATTCACAACCCTATAAATCTTAAGCTGGATATTTTGGTTTAGTTGAGATGCGTTTTCTATTATGGAATCCAAAACAGCAGATTGTTTCGCTTATTTTATTATCTAAGTGGTGTTCAAGTGTCATCTGACAGAATGTCTCATTTCCAGTTATCTGTCTCTTTTGCAATATGTTTGGGATCTGTTCTTTGCAGATTGTAGTTTAGCATTGAATATTATTAACCTATTACTTTCCGATTTTATTACATAATTTTGTATTTTTTAACTGCTTTTTTATGTGTCCTAATAATTGTCCTGATATATGACCTCTAGCAACAAGACGGTATGAGGCAGCTGGGTGGCTAAGAAAGATGGTTGGAGTTGTTGGAGCTAAAGATTTGCCAGCCGAGCCTTCTGAGGAAGAGTTTAGGCTTGGTTTGAGAAGTGGTCTGATTCTCTGCAATGTACTTAATAAAGTTCAACCTGGAGCTGTGCCAAAGGTGATCATTAATTTAACTTTGTTTCGATTAGCATCATGTAGTTTTTCAATTATTGTGATTTTTTGTTATTATTTATATTTGCATAATCGATTCAGGTTGTAGAGAGTCCTGATTCTGCGCTTATACCTGATGGAGCAGCTTTATCCGCATATCAATATTTTGAAAATGTGAGAAACTTTCTTGTAGCGGTGCAAGAGATGGGGCTTCCTACTTTTGAGGCATCTGATCTGGAACAAGTAGGTGTCTTGGCTATGGGAGCAATGCTACTAAGATCTTGCTTGTATAGCTTAGCTGTTTTTTAAGATGCATTATGATAATTTATGTAGAGTAACTGTCTAAAAATTTGCCACATTGTTATCTATTAATTTGTCAGGGAGGGAAATCTTCTAGGGTTGTGAATTGCATTCTGGCACTTAAATCCTACAGTGACTGGAAGCAGTCAGGTGGGAATGGGGTATGGAAATTTGGGGGAAATTTAAAACCAGTGACATCTGGAAAGCAATTTTTGCACAAGAATTCAGATCCATTCACAGGTTCCTTGTCAAGGAACTTGTCAATGAGCGAAAAGTCATTGAATGCTCTATCCTCTGACCTTGACTCTAATAATAAGGTTAGTATCTTGATGATAGCAATATATATATATCTGTGATTGCTTTCATGTTTAAATTAGAAGAATGACTATTTTTTTCATATGCTTATTTTCAGTCTAGTTCTTTGAGTATGCTTGTTCGTGCCGTTCTGTTAGATAAGAAGCGTGAAGAAGTTCCAACAGTAAGTTGTTAATATCCTTAGTGCCTTAATCAGATTATTTAATGTAAAAAAAAATTCTGTAATCATGCCAGGCGTAGTGGGGGAATCATGTATGGTCTTCTATACTATGGCATGCAAGTTTTGCGAGTCTACCTATTATGAAAAGCATGTGATACCCTTGCAGATGAGCATAAATTCAATATTCAGGGAGCTTCCAACTGGGAGACACTATCATGGGTTGCCAATTGTTCAATCTTTTGCACTTGTTTTCACTATTATAAGAATTCAACATATGGTTCAGAAGCTTCTGGCTAACCAGAAAAAATAAATGGTTACGAAAAGAATAAAAGAAAGATGCTGAAGGGTTACTATACGAGTTACATGAGTCTTTTACTATTACTGCTGCTGCTTTATCACGATCACCAATACTGTGACCATAGTACTAGTTTCATCTATCTGATCAATAACACTCGTCTGCTTGCAACAGCTGGTGGAGTCTGTGCTAAATAAGGTTGTGGAGGAATTTGAGCATCGCATTGCATCTCAAATTGACTTGGTATGTTGTTATTAGTACAACCAATTCTCATTTTATAGAAGATATTGAATTGCTCACAGAGCTGCTTATTAGCTCTAATGAATTTTGATAATTCTGTATTGACATTTAATAGTTGATATAGAGTGGATGAGTGTAAGAACCATTGGTAACATGGTTTTGGGTATTTTTAGTAAAGTTTATTTGAATAATAAAAGTTATATTATTGCTTAATTCTATTTATTAATCATTTAGATTTCCAACTGCTATTTCAACAGAAGAAAACAACTTCACAAGATGTTGTCATTTCTCATGGCAACAAATATCACTTGAAGCATGGTTCTGCTAATATAAAGGTATTTTGTTGATCATTAGCTTTTGAAAAAAATTAGCTACTAATTAATCAGGCACGTATTTGATGCAAGTCCTTAACATTTCTGAATATTCAGTTTATAGCATTTTCTTCATCTGTTTATGGAATGATGTAGATAGAAGAGAAAAATTTGATGCAGTTAAAGAAAGAGGAATGCTTCCATAAAGCCAATATCCCTGATGAGGAATCAAAAAGACAAACTCTCAAACAGCAGATGATATTTGAACGACAGAACAGAGAGATTACAGTATGGCTAGCTGCCTCATATTTTCCATCAGTTTTATCTGTTAGTTGTATATAGGTGTATTGATGTTACTTTACTTTTCTGTAGGAGCTAAAACAAACTCTTCACATTACAAAAGCTGGCATGCAGTTCATGCAAATGAAGTTCCACGAAGATCTCCACAATCTTGGTAGGAGTTTAGATTGATTCTTG